GGAAAGAGTTAGCAGAGATAGAGGCTCTAAAGATCAGAGGAAAATTAATCTCAAACTGAAGGCTGAAGATTGTTTCCCCCTGTGTGTAAACTGTGGAACTCATCAGTGCTGGATGTTAGAAATGGCTTAAAAACCATTTCACATTCCTAGAAGAGAGAACTCATCCAGAACCATGCAACACTGGTGAGAGAGACCACCTGCTTCAGGAGGTTCCTAACACCAACATCTCCGGGGTTGTGTTGGGGGAGTGTTGCTGTGCCCTCACCTCTTCACTTAAGAGGCTTGGAGGTGAGGTTGTGTAACCAGTTAAGCCAAGGCAGGGGTCAGCTCTCCCCAGTGCTGGGTGCTGCCTCGTGCCAGTGCCCACTCTCCTACCTGCAGGTTTTGGTTAGGTCAGGGTGGTTCAGCTTCTTGTGAGGATGCTCACAAGTGAAGCTCCCTGAAGCAGGGTGATGGTGGGTCTGGGCACTGCCTATACACAGGGATGGGTAGAAGTGCACAACCAGAGCTGAGCCTCTGGAACAGGCTGAACTGTCCAAGAGGAGTCTCCTGTCTGACTTGATACAGCTGTTCTGGAGGAACAGAGGTGTCGGTTCTGGAGTAGGGACATTGTGGCGGCTTTTTCCTGCTATGTCACCTTTTAACCACTTCCAAACGTGTCCCCAGTGACTCAGCCTCTTCTCCTCTACTGTGTCTTCTCTCTGCTGAGAAAGTGTGGAAATAAGCACCACCTTACAGCTTGGGGATGGGAGATGCATGATTGTTGGTCTTCAAAAAGATGAAAGTTCACCTGGTGACCTTTGTTGTCTCTAGGTTTTAATGGAACAAAAATAAAAGCACTGCCCGAGACTGTTCAGGGGGAAGGCAGGGGAAAGGAGAGCTCTGGTTGGTGGACATGTGCTGCTGTGTGTGTGTGTGTTTGTGTGTGTGTGTGTTTGTGTGTGTGTGTGTTTGTGTGTGTGTGTGTTTGTGTGTGTGTGTGTCTAACTTGGTTGGACTCCACCAACTTCTTCCCAGTGAAGTGGAGATAGTGCTTCCGTTCCCCCTTTGTCTGGTCCACCAGGTAACACCATACACATCCCTTCAGATGCCACCTGACTTGAGGATAATTCCTTCATATGCAGAAATAATCTCTTACCAGAGAACACGTATAGAGGTCAGGCCATCTCCTGGAATGTCAGAGCGGGGACACTGTCACTCTAAAGGAGGTGCATGTCCACCAGCAGGATTCATACTTGCACCCCATGAAGTGGAGCAGTGTCTGTAACACATGCCTCTAGATTTTCTGAGTTTTAATGCCAACTTCTTACACAGCTGAAAAATGCCACCACCCTCTTGCCTGGTTAAATAACAAGTTTGATGTATTGTGGTGATGGGATTTAGCCTCTGAGCTGTTGGCTCTTGTGCTCTGGAAGTGTGGTGGTGATAGATGAATGGCTCCAGGCTGGAGAATTGCCTGTCTATATTGTGTGTTCCTTTTTTGCAGGTGGAGAGGGCATTATAGGGCTGTCTTCTGTGTGGCTTATGTTGTGACATCTTGTGTATGTGAAGCCATCTTCAGCTGAGTCCTTTCCAAGGTCATTTGTTGCCAGAAGCAGAGATGTGCAGGTAGCTGTGAAGATGGTGCTGACCTTGGCAAATTGACTCGTGTCAATCTGGGCACGCTGACACTCTTTAAAGTTTCTTGTCCATCTTGTTTGAGGCTAGTCCTTGTGTGGAAGACAACCATGTTGGTTTGAACGTGATCTCAGATTTGAATATTTGCTTTACAGGTCTTGTGCTTTTTATTTTAGTGTCTTCTCTTCCAGAGTTGGTGGCTCAGCATGCTCAGTTTGATGCTTTTCAACTCCCTTGGTTCTCTGATGATGTTTGCATGATATGGTTTGGTGTCCATTTATATTAGGAAAACAATTGTAAGTATAATGATAGCACAAAACTTGTAGAAGCCACCAGTTCAGCACGTTTCTGCTTACGCTCAGCTCCTTCCCAACATGGTGTCGAGCAATTCCTGGGGACCTCCTTGAATACATTATTTAATGCCATAAAACCCAAGTATTGTGTGGAAGGAGGGAGCCTGGTGAATCTGGAAACATGACCACAATGTGTGGTTGTATGAGTGGTCTCCTGGCTGTAACTTGAATCAGAGTAGAATGGGTGATGGGCAGAAGTGGGTGGAAATCCTGTGAATTGATACATTGAGCTGAATTTTTAGCAGGACTTAACATCTTAACATTGAACTGGATTTTTAACAGGGAAATTGAAACCAGAAATGGCCATGTTGGGACATTATTGCACTGTGAAATGCTGCAGACTTCTTGAGTGTAGCAAGATGTTCTGAAGAAGGGATTTCAAGGGAGGCACTTAAAACCAGCATGGATTCTGTTCTCAATAAATCCATCTAATTTGTGTATGACAGAGAGCTGGCTTCTTGCTTAAACAAGCAAGTCCTGGGAATGAATGATCTGAGCTCAGCAGGA